CACAAGTAAACAAAGAATAGAGCGAAAAGAAGAACGAGTTGAAACTGCCAAAGCAGTTCACTTTACAGCGAAAAACGTGTTTTAATTTTGCTAAATGCGAAAATATTGCATTTTTCACCTAATCTATTAGAAAACAGTGAACATTTTAGTGCACTCCATTGCTTTGCAATTGATGCTGCTTCAGCAAACGTTTTAGTACACTCCATTGCTTTGAAATTAAGGCTGCAGCAGCATTTCTGCGGGATTGATTAGTTAACTTGCTAATGGAGGCCGCGTGGAGCAGAAACAAAATCATTGTGAGGAAATGCTGTTAATATAATAATAGAGAAACATGTCGGGAACGGCTTTGCCGTGCCCTATGTACACAAAATGCAGCGATTCGTCCCAGCGCTACAGTTGCATCTACGCTTCTTGCATCTTGACGGCTGTCGCAATTTAACACACATCACTTCATTGTATTAGTTTTTACGCAGTCTTCCACTCAAAAATTACTCACAAATTGCAAATTAACACAATTTAAACTGATTTTTCACTTATAATTCATATTTCTCTTTCGCTGATTTGTAAACAAAGGTTTATTTACAAGTTACCCCAACTGTCAAAATCGGCAAGACCAAAGTGGCGGTACCACTGACGGCACTACCTTTGTTCGCTGCACCATGACCTTGTGTGGTAGATGTGGTGGATGCTGCAAAAAGTGTTAGATCTACCACAATGTGGAGGGGTCCTATCACTGATAGCAGGCTTTAGTATTTATTAATCTTATAACGCTTATTTCCGAACGCATTAAAATTATACATGCACACCGTCTTCAAAAGAGTCACAACTCAAAATAATACGGTTGGCAGAAAGTGCGAAAAACTATTTTTTGGCACATGATATGGGCAAGGACGAGTATACCTTAGGTTTTTTTTTTACCAAATTATAACAGAAATCTCCTCCAGCTTTTGCTGAAAGGTAAATAAAAGCTCTGTACATTTTTAGCGCATTAATTGAAAAATGCGAAATTATAAGTTGTGACTCTTTTGAAGACGATGTGGATATGTACGTCAAACCATCTGTCAGTTGAAAACAATGTTAAGTTTTACATTGTTTACTAGTATAGGTCGTTTCACATATTTAGAAAAATTTCTAGTTTGCCGGTTTAGTGAAATGGAAATCTAAGGTAAAGGTTTGAATTGCTTTTGTATGCAGAAATCGTTTACAAATGGTGATGTGAAGGAACTTTAAAACCAAAAGCAAATACTAGTATGTGTCAAAATTCCACGTCTGGTATGAAGTTTAAAATATTGAAGAGTATTTTTTTAAATGGACGTATTAAAAAAATTGGGTACCAAAACACTCATTAACCATTGTTTGTACTTGTACATCAGATACAATTATTCACAGGTATTCCCAGAAAGTTTTGCCTCACATAGACATTCGTGTCGCATTAATTTGATTTTGACGCAACTCTTTTGATTATTTTTATAATTTTCAAAACAAAAAGGTGAAACGGAGTTGGCATTGCTGAACGGCGACATACATATGTAAGTGTTTTAGGAAACTATCACGAAGAGAAATAAGTTCACATACATAAATTGTCCCTCATTACCCAGTAGATAATTTCAGGAGTTAAAAGCCCTTCCGAAAGGCCTTCCACTCTACATTCCTTTCTCCTTTCTTTTTTTGTATGGAGTGGTACAAATTGAAGGGCTTCCAGGTACGCTTTATGAATTTGTACAACGATTTTGGGTTGATGTGCCCAAACGCGTGAATCGAATCAAAAAACTTTTACACACACTTGTAAACAACAGTTCACGCTTTATTACAAAAATTTAATTTACTAAATCTGTGCAACAATTTAAGGCATAAATGCAGAATACGTACAATTCTCAAATTAAAAAAATTCATATGGGGATCGATAGAGATCATTGAGGTGAGTGTCACGATGTATTTTTTTTTTTTTTTGGGAAACAACAACTACAACAATTATTAAAGGGGTTTCAGTGCCTTTTCTTTGCAACACAGAATGAGAATTCTACTTTGTGAGGGTTATAATCCATAAGTGCGGCCGAAGGCCGCCTACGCAGAAAGGTGTTCTGTGCAAAAGGTGTTCAGCGCCTTTTCTTCGCAACACAGAAAGAGAATTCTACTTTGTGAGGGTTATAATCCATAAGTGCGG